GACACAACCCTGATTGCTAAAACTGAAGAGGACCTGAAGCACTTGCTGTGGAAGGTGAAGGACTGCAGCCTTCAATATGGATTAAAGCTCAATATCAAGAAAACAAACATTCTCACCACTGGAACGATTGGCTGCTTCATGATAGATGATGAAGAGATTGAGATTTAGTTTGTTTGGCTCCACAATCAATACTCTTGGTACCAGTAGCCAAGAAATCAAAAGATGAATTTCACTGGGAAAGTCTGCTGTCAGGGACCTCTCCAGAGCACTGACAAGCAATGATATCAGTCTGGAGACTAAGGCGTTCCTGATCCAGGCCATGGTTTTCAAAATTACTTGCTATGCACCACAGAACTGGACTATGACTAGGGATGATAGAGAATTTAAGCATTTGAGCTGTGGTCCTGGAGAAGAATATTAAATATACCGTGGACTGCTGGGAAAACAAACAGGTTCATCCTAGAGAGGGTGAGACCAAGCTGCTCCTTGGGGGCAAGGATTCTGAGGCATCATCTGACATACTTTGGGCATGTTGCAAGGAGGGACCAGTCCTTGGAGAGGGACATCATGCTTGGAAGAGTGGAGGGACAGCACAGGAGTAAGACCATGATAAGATGGATTGATTCAGTGATGGGGTAATTGGAGTAGGTGTGTCAGAGACAATAAGGTTGACCCAGGATAGAGCAAGTTTCAGAGATGTTGTACACAGGGTCACTATGTGTCACTAGGGCCCATGACAACAAGCCACCAGAATCCTGCCTCATTAGCATAATAAAATCCACTGCCAGAGTCTGGTCTTCCTCAGTTTCCGGAGGCTATAAATTGTAACCAGAGGAGACGCCATCTTTCTCCTGAGGATTAGAACCCCCGGAGCCTAGAGGTCTTTGGGTCAGCAGCGCGGTTATGGACAATTCCAGCCGGTCAGAGAATGGAGGGGAGCTCACAGTCCTGGGGGTCACAGCCCAGGTGAGTTGGCACAGACTCAGGTGGGGGAGACCCAATTCAATCCCTGAGAGGGCCTGCCCCACGCTGTGACTGCAGCCTTGCAGAGAACTCAGCTGTGCTGGACCTGAGCTCACAGAAACAGAGATGACTAATGCCTTGTTTTAAGCCATTACATTTTCTACATGGCGGTAGATAACTGTAGGGTTTTGAGAGGCCAAATATAGCTATATTTGGAGCTGGCTGCTGGCTCACTGCCACTTGCTAACGCGCGGTTACGTAATACTTGCTCAGGTGGTCCTGGAGAGCCAGGGCCCTGGCAGCGTGCCGCTGACCAGAGATAACAGGGCTCCTCTTCCCTCTGTGGGGTGGGGACTCGGTAAGTGACCCCTTAATAACATAGTGCTGTGGCCTGTAGTGGGTTCTGCTGCAGAACAAAGCATCGAGAGTCCTCAGCAGTTCAAACCAGCCAGTAGCTCTGATGGAGAAAGATGTGCGGTCAATCTCAATGACAGGGGACCGCCCATCTTCCTCAGGGTCACTCTGAGTGAAGAAGCGAAGCATGACGCTCCCTGGAACAGCCTCTGTCTCTCCTACTTTGTGCGTTTTAACAGGAGGGATCGTCCCTAGAGAAAGACATCAGTGATTGGGAAAGCAGAGTCAGTGAAGGGGACAAAGACCCTAACGGAAATGGATTGGCCCAGTGGTGATCCTGGCCCAGGATCGAGCCATGCTCTCTTCTGCATAACGATGAGGCAGCTCCAGGCACCTACTCTCGCTGCTTCCTCTGACAAACAACATGAACTTTCAGGAGCTTCTTCCATTCTACCCTCTCTGCCCCACCTCTCTACCCTGAAGTACTGAGGGCACTTAGGAGATCATGACGGTAGGAGCGCTTTGGAGATTACAGATGCCGCAGGAGTGCGCAGGATAATGAGAAGATTATTACTAGGTGTGCAGAAAGATAAGCTTGTTATTTCAATCACCCTAGCCCTTTGACAAGCGTGAGGGATACAGCCTGGGACCTTGTCAAAGTCCCACATCAGGTTATGAAGACACATAATTTCCAGGAAGACGTCACCAAAAAATGCACAAGCACAGCGATCTCTGTGAAGATGCGATCTATAAGTGCCGTCTGGGGCATCTCTGAGTCACCTTTACGGGCTTCACAGGACCTGGCGCGAGAGCACCTCACGGTAACAGGGATGCCTAGGAAAGTGATGCGGAAATGGGATTCCATTAGACTTTACAAACGCTGCGGTGATTAGGTGCCATCGAGGCAGCTCTGTGCCGTCCTCACCATCATCACCTGGCCTGAGCCCACCGGTACAGCCATGACGTCAGTCCGTCCCGTTGAGGGTCTCGCTCTCCTTTGCTGACCCTTTATCTTGTCGAGCGGGTCTTTTCCTAAGTACTGGCCCCTCCTGATGCCACGCCCAGAGCACATGAGAGGAAGAGGAGCCCTCGGCCACATCCGAGGCCCTTGCTGCATCCACTGGATCAATCCGTCTCAGTAAAAAAAAAAAACCGCTTTTTCTCTGACCTTGTCTTTATCAAACACAAGGTAGTTCTCCAGGATTTGGACCCTCCTAATAATGTATCCAAGGCACGTACAATGAGATCCACCATCCTCATGTCTCCGGAATACTCTTGGCATACTCCTCCCAAGACTGATTTGCTTGTCCTTCGAGCAGTCTGGTCACTGCCCTTTGCCCACACCTTCACTGAAGGCACCCCTTGTCCTTCAGGCTTCTTCACTCATGGTCCAGCTTTCTCATACGGTTGTTGTTGTTGTTGTTGTTGCTAGGTGCCTACAACCTACGGACCGCAGAGCCGCACCTTGCCCTCCCCCAAATGCTCTCTGACATGCCCCAGCCCGTCGTCACCGTCCCCGTGTCCATCCATCCTACTGAAGGTCTGCTCTCTCTGACCCTCCACCTTTCCCAACATGCTGTCCTTTTCCAAGAACTGGCCCCTCCTGACGACGTGCCCAAAGCAGGTAAGGTCAAGGGTCACCACGCCTTTAAGGGGCGTCCTGATTGCATTTCCCCCAAGACAGACGTGTCTGTTTTTCGGGCAGTCCATGGGACAGCAAACACGCTTCTTCAATACCACAACTCACGTAGTGTAAATGCTCGGCACTCGGGACCCTCATTCCAGCAGGCGGAGTACCTGCACAGGAGATAACACAATATCACTGCAGTTCCGTAGACAAGGGGCTAAGTGCTCGGGAATGGGTTTGGTGGTTGGAACCCACAGGGGCCTGGAGATAAGCTTCTCTAGAAGCAGAGGCAGCTCTGGTGACCTGGTGGTAAGAAGTTGTGCTGCCAACTCAAAGGTGGGCAAAGACGTGACAGTGTGCTTCTATAAAGATCCCAAATGCAAACCCGCTGCTTGCTGTCTGTTTCCAAACTGGAAAAGGTTACCTGTCTGTCTCCCTCAGAGTTGCCAGTAGGTTCAAACCAGCAGAGGAAGGTATTCTGCCTTTGGGTAAGCCGTACAACTCTGCCGTCTATGCCATCAGAGCTCCCTTCCCCTTAAGATTACAGCCTTGGACACGTGTGAGGTAACTGCTCAGCAGAACGCACAGCAGAGGACGACTGAGCTATGATGGGGAGAGAGGCTTTACTTCAGTTATTAGGGTGATCGGAACTGAAGCTAAAGTCAGTAACAGGAGTATTAGGAGCGTCTCCGAGACACTCCTGTAATTGGTACGATGGCTCTCACCGTGTTGATGGTGCCGGACTGATCTCGACTCCATGTGACAGTGTAGAATTGCTGTGTAAGACTTACTTGGCTGTGATCTTTATGGGGAACAGATCACTAGACCTTTCCCTTGTAGCCCACAGGTTGTGTTTGAACTGCCAGCCTTTAAATTAGCAGGCAAGCACTTAACCATCACACCCCTGGACATCCTACTCCCATATTACAAAGAAACAGAAGCTAAAAGCAGGGAGGTTACAAAAGTTGCGTTAAATTTATGCAACAAGTAGATAGTCAAGTGAAGACTCAAACTGTATCTGAGTGACTCTGGAGACTCTGTTCTCTGCATCACGAGGCTACCAGAGACTATCAAAGGTTATTTTTTCGAGGGTCATTTTGAAGACCAGCCAGATTTTAGTGAAAGTTCTAAGTGTGCATTGTTTGACATAACACGCCCAGTGCTCGCTTTGGCAGCACATATACTAAAATCAGAACGAAACAGAGAAGATTAGCACGGTCCCTGTGCAATAACACTCCCAGGATAAAAAACACTCCCAGGCTTCTCCTGTGTTTCCAGAAGGAAAATGTTTTTGGAATCGCTTCATCACTCAACTGAAAATGAGCACTTGGGCCTCAGAAGGGCATTTCCCAACTTCTAGGGAGCGCCGCTCTGCCAGCAGCTGGTCAACCCCAAGCCGGGACCTGAGGCTCTTTCTGTACACCTGGCACTTATGGTCACGCCCCACTCAGAGAAAACCCCAATCCCAAGTCTTTCTGGTAAGACTGACGTGCCCTCCGAGCAATGAAAACCCAAAATGGTGGGTGGAAGCTCCGCCTTCCCTCCGACTCCGCCTCCCTTTCATTCTGTAAGAAAGAGTCTCGGCCCTGGCATCCAATAAGAAGCCAGAACCTGGAGTCCAACCCCTCAAGAGCCCGCCCCCAAATGGCCCCGCCCACTTAATCACAGCTCCACCCCGAAGGCGGGAGTGCTGGCGCGCCGGGGCCGACATGCACCAATCGGAGAACGGGCGCGCCCGGACTGGCAGCCACCGGCCCAATGGCACTCCCCGCCCTGCCGGCGCCCCGCCCTCCCTCCCGGCCGAGCGCGGCTGAGCGAGCGCGGCGTCGGGCGGCGGCG